TTAATCATGTCTATAAATTCTTATCTTAAAATCAGCTTTACTACTAGCAACATAGCAATGTTTAGATGGTTTGAGTGGCATATCTAACATTACACTCAGATTCTTTTATTCAGTACTACTGATTAAGTTCCAATCAATATTAAATGTGTGGTCCAAATTATGATAACCGAACTGCATTATTACCTTGCATTTACTATAATTAAAAGTCACGTGCCAAGTCTTTGTCAAACATACCAAGTGATCTAGATTATTCTGAAGTATCTCAATATAGCAAGAAATTCCCATTAGTTTCATGTCATCAGCAAACTTAACTAATTTACTTAAGTATTCCCTTATCAATATCATTAAAGTAAACAAAAAACAAATGCCCAAGACTCCAAAGCACTCCACAAGTAACAAGTTTCAGTTAGACTGAACTCCATTAATAGGGACTATAAAAAAAATTTTTAATTTATAAAATCTTAGACAAATATATATGAAGCACAAAAAGAGAATTGTGGCTGTATGCCAATAACAAAAGCAATTACTGCATTTTCAGTAGTTAAGCGAGTCCTATGCAAACACATGTTAAATCTGTGATCAGTGAAGCTTGGAAAAACACTTAACTAGGCACAGTTTTCCTTATATCTTCATCATTTCTTTGATATTTTTCATGAAACAAACTGCAAATTGAACCTTCAGAAACTAACTTTCATCATGAGTAAGTAATTACACTTTTTCAGAAATATTGTGGCTACCGTGTTGTTGTTTACATCTAGATACAATACAAACATAACAGCATGCAGCTCATTACATCAGCCTCTAGGCATTTGAAGCTAGGCATGCACAAAAAGTACAATACATTTCTCATTGAATGATATCATATAACCTTGTACACTAATATAACACTATTTATTCACTATTAAAAACAACAAACATTTATTTGAGTGAAGAATACTTAAAACTTATCCAGCTCTGCCATCGCTTCGCATGGCAGAGCTGAGTATAAACATTAGGGTACGGGTGTTCTTCACATATGTGCAATACAAGTTAAACTATACTGGTACAGTAACTATCCAATATCAAGGAAAACTTTTCTGTCTATCTGTCTGTGGACACATCTCCTCCTAAACAAGTTGACTGATCTACACCAAACTTGGCATGCTAACTTAATGGTCCAAAAGCAAACCAAATTCATATTAAACTTTCCCATATATTGAAAAATAAAAATATTTTACACAATAACCCCTACATCATTACTGCAGTAGGTATTATAAATTGTAAATAAATTGTTCCCACAATAACCAAAATATAGAGTAATAAAATATCCAGTTACAATGCAAAGAATAAAGATACTGGTGCTGTTTAACTTTTCTGCTCTTTTCTGATCCATTCCATTTAACTTCCAATTTTTACTAGGGTTAGAATAAGCTCTTAAGCTCTAAATAGAGAATTATTTCACAATTAAATTATTTTTCAGGATATTTCTTGCTTTTTTGATACTGAATATAGTTTTCAATAGAAGTAAGATTCAAGATTATTATTAAATTTAATGCATCAAATGTACCACATTCAGAAAGTATAAATCTGAACCACATCTCTAATGTGAAATGGGCTGCTTTGAACAAGAAGTGATGCAACTGCTTTGTCATTTCTGCCAGGTTTTTCAACTTGACTACTACACCTACTCACTTTCCCTGTCATACAACAATTTTCTTGAAGAATGAACATTACTGGAAATACTCACAGAGATTTTGCTTATTTTTAGGAAATTTGTGTATGTTTTCCACATTTTCAAGAGAAAGAAGATTAAGGAGTGTAGACTCTTTGAAATAACCTGCAAAACTTTTAAAGTAAGACATTTAAAGTGAATTATAAGAGCTTCAAAAATAAAGCCTATTATGAACTGGGTGTTCATTTTTACTTGTAGACTTTAACCGGATCTGTCAAGCTTTCAAAAAGGACAGAGCTGGGTATGAAATTTGCCACTCAAACAATTAGTCAGATTGCACATCTACTAAATAAACAGGTATGCTTGATTTGTTTACAGTGAGTCCATCATATTCTCCTCATTACCACAGACAAGTAGTTCCAGAAACAGAAACATCTGAACAGTATAAGAGCAACTGATAAGTGCGCCAGCTTATAGACTGTGTATTTATGAATGGTCACAATAAGATGGACAGAAAGCATGATGAACTGATCATATGGCCTTGGTAGATTGTTTGCCCTATCATTAATAAAAATGTTTTTCTTTCACTCAAGTCATTCTACAATCCAGTCAACTAGTCATTCCCCAACCACTACTGATGTATTATTGTTTGTGTGGTACCTTAATAATACCCTTTTAAAATTACACACATCATTCCTTTCCATCATCCAGGTAAAAGAAGTTAGTGTATTCATGTTTGTAATAAGGAGTCTCACAGAACTATACTTCCTGGCCACAGAAGTATGCGAATGCAAAGTTGCAGTTGGGAATATATAAATCTTCCATAAACAAAATACTAAATTATTATATACCAAAAAAAAATGAAAAGTCTACAGTAATATTACATGCTGTGTCTGCACGGTTTCTTTCAAGGCAACCATACTTCCACTAGTTGCAAATTGTCTATAATAAAATCACGATGATTGCTATACCTTTCCACCACCATATGGGTGTCAGCAAGATGTTGCTGGACCAATAAAGACCAGTGATGCATGAAACGATAGCTCTATTCATGCTCTACATTAGTCTGGGCAGTTTCAATGAATCCAAAATACACAAACAAAACTTTAAACCCATTAATAAATACTTTTTAATCGTTTAATTTGTAGAAACAAAGCCATACAATAAACAGTGTGACCTGTATTACATAATGCATAAACTGATATATATATACATGTCTGCCAAAATCCAACCAACATCATGTCAAAAAATGATGAATTGGAATTGTAAACATAAAATATGTTGGCCTGGCAATAGTCTGCTATACATCATATCATAGTTAAATTTATTTTAAAACCAATAACAATAAAACATCTATCCTTTACTTTCATAGGTACATATGCAAGTTCATTCTTAACATTTGGTTGTTGACAATTTCCATTTCTATAACATTATAATATGAATTCACACATATAGCTTTTCAATGGCAGTATTTTATTATGACTATGTTTTATCTTGCTTTGTCACAGGTTTCACACAATGTCTCAGACTGCCAGGTAAAGATGATAATTCTATACAAATCACTGACATTTTGATAGCATTGTTTCAATGAGATGGTAGAGTGGTGTGAAAGGTCAATTTACAGGTATGATTATTAATTGTTTTTCATTAATTATTATATACATAAATGAAATTGCAGTGTAAATCTACAAAGTTTTTACTGTGGAATTCAATGGTGTGTAAATTTTTTTTATTTTCCCTATTCAAAAATTAATGAAACTTCCAATAATTGTAATTCCAACCTTTTCTTTCCATTACTCAGATGAATAATACATAAAAAAAATTCTCTAACCTTTTAACAAATTTTCCCCATCTGAATAAAGTCCACACAATTCTCTGTACAATAGAAAATAGAGTTAACCCTTTGACTGTTGCTACTTTAAAAACTTAAAGAATTTCTGTGAGCCATACACTGTATACAGCACACTCACATTTAACTGCCGGAGGCAGACTGTAGCCTATACAGCAATTCAGCAACCAATGGATTAAAACCCTTAGTCTTTCTCCTCAAGCCTCATGATTTACCCCAAAAATGATCCTAGGGTCTCTCTTTACACACTTTGCAGTATGTTATTAAAATAACACCCAGTGTCTCTTGCATTTATACAGATCATCTATGTTGACAATGTATATAAAAAGAAACAAAATCCTTCATTTCTCTTTCTTCCCAGTGTAAGTTATGCAACATAATGTGAACTATTAAACACATATAACAAAATCTAAAAATTTTGTATGCCCACTGCCAATGTAGATAACATATAGAAATCAGATACATTAAGCACAATTTTTATGCCATCCTATTGTAAGGGGACCAAACCCACATACTGTATTCCAAAAAACTTTTAATAAGGCCTCACCAGCTTTGGAAAATATGAGCCAATAGCTCTATTAGCTCTTTTCCCAAGCTAAACATTCAGCTGAGAACTTTAGGGTATTATCAATTAAACAGAAATAAGTTTTTCTTTTTTTTCATAATATTGATGTTTCTTTCACAAAAGAAGTTGTTTTCAAATTCCTAGGCCTTTGTAAGTGCATATCTTCACACTTCTCAATATTAAAACTCATTTTCACATTCTGTCAGTAGATCTATAATAAATTTAAGTAATTCACTGATTGCAAGAGATATTTAATATAAATCAGATTTTAGTTTTAGTTTTTACTGCGTAGTACTGTCAGTAACAGTATTGCATCATACCAACATTGTATAAATTAGTAACTTAACTAATGTAAAGTCAACAGATGGCACTCAGATCATAGCAATTAGTATTATTAGTAATACTAGATTATATACTACATACTCATGACAGCTGATACTGTTACTGTGTTACTTCAAAGTGCTAGTTATTACTAACACTAATAGTTGTAGTAGTAATTTATAAAAACGAGTTAACTGCATGTTCTTTGCAGTGCTAGTACTAGTATTAGTAATACTAATAATAACAGTAATATTAATAGTAATAGAACTAGAAGAACAAGTAATAGTAATACTAATAGTATTACTGTTACTAGGCTTAGTTTTGTAGAAAAAATGTTACTTAAGTCTAAGACTATAAAATCACTAGCTGAACATATTAAAATCCTAAAAACTCGAAAGTTGCTTTATTTTAAATTATATGTAAATAACACATTGAATTTCAACCATTATGGCTTCTTACTTCAGTAAATTTAGGCTTAAGGTGAAGCAAGTTATTGAACTTGTCTCCTTTGGCATTACTATTTATAGTAATACCATTGCCGTTGTACAACCGACCAACGATCTATATCATCATGAGTATATCACTATAGTATATGTAAAAATAATACATTATACCTTTCTCATCCATAAACTTGTGCTTAGAAGATTCGAGACTGACGTTCAAGCAATCTAACTTTCAGTTTTAGGTTACATTAACATATAACTGTACTCCCCTCTTCTTTGGCATTCAGAAAAGCCAACAAGACTCAGAACGTCAAAAACCACAAAACATAACCCTGATCAAACGAAGGAACAAGAAAAACGCTTGCGCACAATAAACACGTCACATGGATTATAACCGTAAGGTCAGTTGATAATGAGATTATAGCCGAATGGACTTTTGCAATCCGATGTAAGTTTCAACTTTGACTTGATCTTGTGAATTTTAGCCAAAAACTTCTATAAAAACATTCTAAACATACAATAACCTATTATGTTAATAGAATTATAAAAAAAGACGTACGTAACTTTTGAAAGTTGAAAATAAAACACTCATGCACCAAATTTAGCAGTTCTGCCAATGAAACTGAAAAATCGTGCATTTGTATCACATAAATTTCGAAAAAATTATTTTTCCGGTTATAGAAATATTTTTATTGCAGATAAAATATTGTTACGTTTCTGGTCGTTAGTTAATTTTCCCTTATAATTTCTTTGTGAAGAAACTTTAGCAATACAAGTCCTTTCTTAAATAAAACTGGTTTATTCTTTCTAAATACAACTTTGCAATACACTTAATTTCCACAGTCACGCTTTAACAAACGCTATAATTCACAACGAACGTCTCGACTCAACAATACGTCTCTCTCTCTCTGTCCGCAGTTCAATTACCCATTGCTGCCGTCACTTCTTGGCCGTTTTATATAAAAGAATACCGTACATCCAGTAACCTCCCGAGAATTCACGAAGCTTCGAGAATATGACGACTTACTAGCGTCACGTGACCTCCGCTGTCGTAACACTGCCCCTTCCTTAGTATTGTTCTTCCGAACAATAGCCACTTACATTAAACCAATAAACAATTAACAATAACTTAATTAAATGTACAGAATTTACAAACACAAAATTAAAATTCAACAAAGTTTCTTGATTTTACGGGACGTATTTTCTTCCTTACTGGTCTCTGTCTCGTTGGCTTCTGCTTCATGTGGGGTTCATCTGCTTCATCAGAAAACTTCCTATCATCGGTAACAGTCACAGCAGTGGTAGTAACTTCATCAAGGACTTCACCGTTTCCCTTCTCAAAACCGAGTCGTGTTTCTTCTTAGACAGTGGCTTTTTCAGGTGACACG